TGGCCTTGGGGTCTCCCCCGTCACTGCAGCGGCACTGCTCCTCGAGACCCTGGTAAGGGCGGAGGGGCGGGAGCTGGGGAACGGGAACTGGGCTGAGCTCCAGCGCCCCTCACCGGCGGACGCTGTCCCCGCAGCAAAGGCGCACAGGGTCCCCGCTCAGTTCAAGCCCTCGCAGTTCGACAAGAGAATCCTGCTGTGGACCGGGCGATTCAAGTCCGTGGAAGAGATTCCGGCGCGGGTCCCGTGAGTCGGGCGGGAGTGGAGTGGGGCAGGGCTGCAGGGCCGGTGCGGGGAGCTCTGGGTGCAGCGAGAGCGGACGTGGGGTCCCAGGGCGCGGGAGGCACCGCGCTACTCCGCTGTGTTCGCTAGCTCTGTCACCATAAGGAATTTACCACCCCTCTTTCCCTGCGCACTTCAGTGTGAAGCCCTCAACTGGACAGTGGGCAGCTAAGCTCATACGAGATTGAGGAAGTTGGGCGGAAAACCAGACTCCTTGGGCACCGCCACCGTCGCCCGGTTCTGTCTCTGGAGAGCCCTGGGGAGGGGCGCGGGGGCGCTCGAGCCCAGCGGAAGGCAGAGGAGTCGCCTGCACCCTGGTGCAGCCCTAGTTGCTCCAATCCAAAAAGAAGGGCGGCCGGAGGTGTCTCGGAAGAAAATTCAGCCACGCAGCCTTCTTTCTGTGGCGCGTCCGCTGGGCCAGGGCAGTGCTGCAGCCTGGGATTGGGACTGGAGAGGTCACTGGCGTGGTGGTCCTAAATCCACCAAGGGAGAGGTTTAGTAAGTGATCAAAATCACCTCCAGGGTAATGCAGCCTGTAAGAAGGAGAAGGAAAAAAGGTAATGTAACTTGTAAAAAACAAAACAAACAAAAAACCCTACTCTTTCAGTTTGTGCCAATCCCAAAAGACATCTCCAGCACTTTTGCAAAAAAATAGAAAGAGAAGGAACTAAGATAAAATCAATCTACTAGTGTTAAAATTGAACATTAAAAAAAGAGAGAAGAAGAAGAGAAGAGGAGGAGGAGGAGGGGGAGGGGGAAGGGAGGGG